TACACTCAGCATATTCTCAGGTTTTGTTCCGTGCCACAAATACCTTAAGCAGTGCATGCGTATTTCTAACATTTATCATTGGCCAGGAATATTATTCAAAACATGGGCATGCAAAAAGAAACGGCAGAGGAAACTAGTGGGCCTAGTATAATGATGAGTGGTGCTTTTTCTTAGAATTCAGGCACTTTGCTCAAATCCGCCAGCAACAAAAGCAATTCCTCTACGAATCAACGACTTGTTTCTATGGTCATCTGGTAATGCGGCGTTTAGCATGCCAGAAATTCGGAACTTATTCCCGTGAAAATGAAAGGATAACCGCCAACCTATGGTTGCCAACTTCCAGCGCGTTGCTGTTGAATGCTCTTGCCGGTTCTCGACTTCTAACTGCATATATGGCTTCTACGGAACAAGATGATGTTATCTGAATATTCTGTAGGATTTGCTGCGTCATTAAATCATCCGGATTGAGTAACGTCAAATCGCTTTCCAAACCATCCAATATGTACCTAGAAAGTTCGCAACAAGCAGTTGGTACGCCTGGTATTACTTTGTCAGTAATTTAAATTTATTTTTTATACCCTTTCTTTCACCGTTCTGAAGCACAACTCCCCCCGTGCGCAGGGAATAAGAGGATATGGATGTCACTTTACTCTAGGAAATCACTAACAGTGGCGGACTAAGTCGTCTAAATCTCAGTTTAATAGCTTTCGTAGATCTGAACATTGAAATATGATGACACATACACACGAACAGTCAATCTTGCAGAGACATCCGTTTTTGCATTCCATAGATACAAAAAATGCATTAAAAGTGCTGAACCTTACAAGTACGGATCGATGCGATCCATGTTGTAAGCTGCTGCTGTCACCAATTTCCCGGCTATTTCCATCTCAAACAAGCTCTCCACTGTTCGTTCATATTCCTCCAAAACGTTATCACTGTCGATCATTGGTAGCGAACTATTTTCGAAGCCACTGAGCGGCATTAACCTTAAATCACAACATAAGGAGACGTTGAATGCATAAAAAAGCGAAGAATTCTAAAGTGATCAAAAAAAAGAACACCAAATGCATGAGAGGAATGTATCCGGGTGAAGAGAGAAGTGAGCAGACAGGACAGTCGACAAAGAGGCAAACTTCGATGGGCCAAAGCAGTTGGCAGTAGTACAATATTTCAGTAAAAAAAGATAACAGGTTCAAAAACGCTAATAGGAACACCACGCAAATATCAGAAAGAAGTGCAGTCGAGCACGCTTAATTTGATGGTGCACCAAATTCTACAGAAAACATCACCGCTAGCGCTGAACGGTGTGCCAAACAAAAATGTAATAAAGAAACATAAAAATGGCAAATCTTCAACCAGCCCAACTGTGATCTCTGATTCTGATAACCTAACAGCTACTGCCTCAGCGCAAACCATTCTTATCACCGATGTGAACGATGACCTTTTCATGACTGCTCTGACCGAAAATTGAGCTGCCCACCAGGTGTACGGCTCAACCCATAACCCTGGTGTTCACATCCCTGCATTCTCTGTCCGTTTTTTTCAGTGATGAACATTATATGGACCACAAATCCTACATCGGCTATGTGATCCTTGAGCTCATCCACTCGCAACTTACAAGCTTGACAACAA